TATATATAAAAGTATATATATACTTACATATATATGTTATATACATTTTAATATATTTATATGTGTATGTGTGTATATTTGACAGTCATTTAGTGTTTCCTGGTATGCAGATACTTGTGATTTAATTGTACTTTCATTCTAGAGAACACTGTTTGAACAACATGGTGGTTCATCTGCAATGTAACATTAAACGTAAGTACACATACCCTGGGAATATTTCACACAGAAATCAAACTGGTCCATAAAGCCTAACGTTTACAGTTTGAATTGAAAGGTTAGGGAATGGACTATAAAAGCTATACTCGTAACGATATAAACACAGGAAAATTTACAGTCTTCACTTGTTTTCAGAGTTAAATATACACTAGAGATGGGTCTATCCTGAAAACACATATATAAAAAATCCAGAAGGTCTGAGGAAAGAACACATCTAAATCCAAGTTATAAAGTTGCATCCAGATTTCAACTATAAAACACCAAACTTTTTTCCACAGTGACAGTATTTTTGAATAGCAGTTCAGATACTACAAAGCTTATTTTTCAAAGAATATTAGCTAGTGTAATAAAGAATGCTATATCACCCTAAAAATCTACAAATATTTTTTTTTAATTTTTTCTTTTTTTTTTTTTTTAAATTTTAGCTTGTGGAAAACACCTGGTAATTCAGAACAATGTCACAAGGATTGTAGGTGGAAGTGATGCCAGAAGAGGGGCTTGGCCTTGGATAGTTTCACTCCATTTTAATTCCAGACCCGTTTGTGGAGCTTCCCTTGTCAGTGATGAATGGCTAGTGACAGCAGCACACTGCGTATATGGGTAAGGTTGGTTGTGCTTGGGAGCCAACGCATTCTAATACTCCCACAACATGCAAGTATCCAAATGGAGGAGAGTCGTCAGCAAAGTGCAGCTGAAGTACGACCTGAGCCATCGATCAGTCCTGTATAGAGCAAGACACGCTTTCATACTGAAATCATTGGGGAGTGGCACTTTTTAGAGGGTTTCTAGATGCTTACTTTAGAATGAAATTAATATAAATTCACAAGTGCCTCTTTCTCTCCACTGACTCCAGGGCATCTTTCCAACTAGCTGAGATGGCCATATGACATCCATGGCATGTCTTTTCTTTTTTATTTTAATGATGATGAAACACTTGTTTTATGTGCAGGTTCAGTAAGGAGGCATCAGATAATGAAAAATTTCTGACACTGATTTAAAAAATTAACAACTAGCTGACTGTTTAATTACTGTGTTTTGAATCACTTGTGGGCTCAGCTAAAGGCTCCTCCACTTTCTAGTAAACCCTCAGTCCTTACTTTAAAGCAGAGAATCAGGGAAACTAAGCAGCACTTTCTGAACAATGAAGAATTGCAGTTTAAATATATGGTATTAATACTGAGCATTTGCACTTAACCCCTAATTTAATGTGAGCCTCCATTAATTAGTTGAATCTCTGCCAGTAGTATAAAGGATGACATCATACTTCATAAAGGTAAACTCAGTATGGCCTGTTCCTCCTCCATATTATCATAGATTGATCAAGATTTACTGTGCATCGTTGGAATGAATCTTGATTTATGTGCATTGATTAGGCAATATTGGATATCCTCTAGATGGTGTTATTTGTACCATCCAAAGAAGTGATGCATATTTAAATATTTTCCAGGATTTGCTTCCATAACATCTATAACAAAAAGAAGTGCTGTACAAAGCAGCTAGAAACTGGCATGGCAAAAAAAGAGAAACATTAATATTCAAAATTACAGTACAGTTTTCATTACAAATAGCTAAGTAGTAAGGCAGTGGAGACTATGCCAATACATTAATGCTGCCTCATTGCATGACAGGAGCTATATTACACACAAAGACACTGAAATGAGAAGGAACAGGCACTCTTAGTTTTCACACAATAAATCCACATCTGTCTTGGTACTTCCTTGTCACTTAAATCTCCTTTCTATTTTCACTTAAATCTCATTTTATCGTCTTGACTTTACTGGAATTTTCCTAAGTGGGGAGCTTGCAGTTTCACACCTTAATCCTGAACATTTAACTTAAAACGCTCCTAGTTCAGAACAAGATAACCTCTTGACGTCAAACCAAAGGATAAGCAGGAATCAATTCAGTGCACCAGGCTGAAAACATATTTTTGAAATTATGAACTGGTTGTTTAAAAATAGCAAATAATTAAGCTCTCTAATTTCAATACAGCCTCAAACCAGCATGCGTAGCTCAGCAAAAAATGCAGATTATGTCATATTTTGCCTTAGCGTATCTTATTCGATTTAGATTAAAAAAATAAGAAACCAGTTTTCTGAATCTATAAGCTTCAGCATTTCCAATTACATTTTAGACCTATAATTCTTTAGCTATTCCATAATAATTTTTTAACTGGGGCCGATATTAATTGCCTGGTGGGCAGTCAGCAGTATTTTTCACAGTGTTTAAAAAGCCATAGTAATTTAGTTAATGTATTTTCCTCCTCTGCACTACTGTCTGATTAATTCTGTATAAATAACGCATTATAAGCTTAACATAAAAAATCAACCACATATTTCTACACTGTAGATGTTTAAGAAAGTATTACTATCACAAAATTGTAAGCACATCTGCTACACTCTAGCTATTTTGACAAAATGTGCAAATGCTATGAATTACCATGATTTTAGCATTTTATCTAACATATTTTTCAAAACTTTCATTAATCTTTCATAATCATGAATATTCCTTGCAACTTCTAGGAGGCAATTAAAACCACCTCAATGGAAAGCATTTCTTGGTTTGTATGACCAAGCAGACATGACACAGGCTTCAGTAATAGTTCGAAACATCGATCAAATAGTTATAAACCCTCATTACATGAAGCGTACAAAAGATAGTGATATTGCTCTCATGCACCTTCAATACAAAGTGCAATATACAGGTGAGTTGTTATTTTCCCATAAAACAGATTTTATCATGCAAAACTCTAACTGTGCTAAGCGTAGGAGGGTGGCGGGGTGGTGGTACATTTTTCACAACCTAATCATTCCGAAGTCAGTCCAATACTTCCCGGGTATCTTCCCAAAAAGTGGGTTTGAATTAATGAACATTTTTCTTCTATGACTTCATAAAAACCTGAATACAGGGAAGAGGCCGAAATTGAGTGCTTGTTTCTCATTCACAGATTACATACAACCTATCTGCTTACCAGAAAAAAATCAACAGTTTTTACCAGGAATTAACTGCTTCGTTGCTGGCTGGGGTAGTATTATGAACGAAGGTGGGTCATCTGCTTGGCAAATTATGACAGGCATGAAGCTGTGAGGGAAAGCTTGCTCCTGATTCCACAGGGGTTGCTAAGGTCGAATCGTTTAGAGAGGTACTCATCCATATGAAAATTTAAGAACTATGCCCCTCCACTGTTCCTTCTCTAAAGCAAACAGAGTTATAACATATCTATTAGAAAAAAAATATATCTATGATCATTAAATTATGAAAAAAACTTATTGCATCCCCCGAGAAGTTATGATGACTCCTTTTCTCAACATGAAGTACATACACCTTATTTCCAGATATTGGGGGGGGGGGGGAAGGAAGATTAGTCTTTCTGACAATGTGCAAATGATTCTCCCCAGAAGTCATGCCTACTGACTGTAGTGTGAAATGTGTGTTCTGTTTGTATATCACATGCTCCAGATTCGGAGTCTCTGTGAAATAATAAACATACCATTTCACTTCCACTGCTGCTTGTATGCATTTGCTTCTACATTTTCAGAATAAAATTGCAGTTAAAATTTTGGGTAGGAATTAGTAAAAGCCATTTTTATAAAAACTTGAAATACTCAAAGTTACACAATGAATAGTGGGAAACATTGGATAACCCAAGATCCTAAGCCCTTAATTATCCTTTAGATCTCCCCACAGTGGGTTCATAGCCATTGATTTTAGTAATCTTGATTTAATTATAGCCAAATTCAGTCCCATTACACAAATGAAAGACAGGATTCAGTTAATGAGCGCCGTTTAATCAATGACTGTGTAATGGGGGTATAAGCCTGAATAGTACAGGAGTGAGGCAGGGCTCCCTGCTGCTCGGTAGTGTGCTCAGCATGCTGGATCAGGAACAAAACCATCAGTGTTCTGAGCGGGATGGACATATTTATTACAGCGGGTAAATGTACTTGGTATTTTCATCAGGTCCCACTTCAGATATATTGCAAGAAGCAGAGGTCCCTCTCATTTCGAATGAAAAATGCCAACAGTGGATGCCAGAATATAGTATTACTGAGAATATGATCTGTGCGGGATATGACATAGGAGGAGTAGATTCCTGTCAGGTAAGTACAAGCGACTCATTTCCACTCCTAGCATACACCACATCTAATTACTGAATAAAATGCTCCCTGATCCTCCAGTTGTTAAAACCAGGACAATCACTGTCCATGAATGTAACTTCTACTCGCAGTGTTTTGCCCATTTTATCAGGATACAAGTTGAAAAGATAAAAATCCATTTTGTACCATCTTGACATAAACAACCATGGAGGGAGATAAATATGATGACTGGAAATTTTCTGCACTAATCTTTGAATAATTACTGCTGAGTAATTCCACAAAGGAAAGAGGGACATGCTTAGGGAAAAGCAGAGTACAGGGAAATAAATACCAAATAGATTGAAC